CCAACAATGCGAACATCCTGATTGCAAATGCGGGGGGGCTGCGCCCCCCCCAACCCCGCCGCCATTTTAAGCCGTCTGCAACAGCCTGCCTAACAGCATAGGAGTCGTTTTGGAAACCCACCATGCAGAATATGAGTCTGTTTGAGACAACGCCATTCACCATGCGAAAAGTGTGCTTGCGAAGGGAACGGCTGTGCCGGGCATGCGAGAGTGGCAAGCTTGCTCGACAGTATAATACTACTCCTACTACTACTACTACTACTACTACTACTACTACTAAGGGTTTCGGCTGGAAGTGAGCCTGAGATAGGCCTGGTCCCACGTTCGCTCATGGCGTATCGTTGCTTTTTGCTGACCTGCCTTTTGAACTGTCTGATGGAGCATGGTTCACTTGACAATGAGCTCCAGCTGCAGGGGTCCCAACTCCCTTGGCTCGTGTCGAATAACGGAGATACAAAGCAGGACGAGGCACGAGCAAACCCGAGGGTTAGCGACCGCTCCACCACGGTCCTGGCAACCTCTTCGGGGGGAAATATACTGGAGAGAGGACAGCCGAGATTACATGGAGTAGCAGTCGAAAACGAGCTTTTCGTCGAGCTAAACGCAGAGCGGAAACCAATGGGGGAACCTGGTACAGAGGCCAGTGGCGCAGCGCAGCGTCATTGGGCACTACTTTTAAGGCGACGACAACAGCTGAAAGGGTGCTGCCACTGAAGCCACCTCCTGGGCCTGCTCGCCAGCGGCGTTTACAGGCGATCAGTTACAACGTTGGCGGAATGACGCAAGAATGCTACGATCTATTTAAGAACTGGTTACAGACAAGATGTCGAGCAGACGTGGTGCTGGTTCAAGAGACCCACTGGGGTCTTGGACATGAAGACGGAAGATGGAAGCTTCCAAACTGGCAGGTGATCGTGACAGCGGACAGCAAAAACCGCTACTGCGGACTTGCAGTGTTCATCCGACTTGACAAATTCAGCGAGGAACAGATTTCCAGTGTGACGTGGATGCCCGGCCGGTTGCTCCACGTCCGATGCACCTCGACCAGAGTAAGCCTGGACATTGTTGCCGGATATCAATTTGTTCAGCAGGAACGGAACTCGGAACAAGTTCAACAAAAGCGGCATTTGTTTTGGTCAAAGCTGGGTGCCTTACTGCAGGGCCTGCCGACGAGAAACTTGCTGCTGCTAGGCGCTGATCTCAACACTCACTGTCAGCCAGTGCCAGGACACATCGGCCGGGGAGTCATGCGCACCACGAAGCCAATGGATGACGAGCTGGTGGAACTGGTGAAGGAGCGACAACTTGTGCTGCTAAATACATGGAAGTCGGCGGCGCCGAGTAAGTGCTGCACCTTTACCAACAATGGTCATCGCTCTCAAATTGACTTCCTGGTGACGCGTAGACGTCATGCGGACACCACCTCCCGCACGGCTGCTCCCATAGCGTTGGACCTAGCACCTTGGAGGCTGGGTCCCAAACATCACGCGGTACAAGCAAGTCTTCCCTGGATTCCGGGTTGGAAAGTTGCCCCTAAGACCCTCACCCCTCAGAGATTTTCGCTCCGAGCCCTGAAACAAGGTGTACAGGAAGGTACTGCAGAAGCGCAAGAGCTGCAGTTGGAGCTGAGTAGGTACGTCTCTGCCAACCCTGAATGCAGTTTGCAGGAACTGAACAGGAACATTTACAAGCATTGTCTTAGACTCTTCCCGAATAAGACCCGAGGCAACCCTGCTCAAAACCCTGCTGACCCGGTTACTGCAGCTGCTGACAAAGTTTGGAGACTAAGTCAGATCCGAGAGGCCCCGGCAGGCACCATCTTTGGGCAATCAGCCAGCGCATGGAGTCGGTATCACGCTCTAAAACAGGCTAGCAGGGAACTTCGGAAAGCAGGCCAGCTCAGAAGGCGCCACTGGCTGGAGGTCCGACTGCAAGAGGCCGAGACCGCTGCCTCTAAGAACGACCTGGGTGCGGTGTACAGGGTTGTGAACAGCATTGCTCCTAAGAGGCGTAGGGAGAAGGTTCGGATACGTTCTGTTCAGGGTCATCTTCTGACTGTTAAACAGGAATTTGAAGAGATCTATGGCTACTTCAGGAAAGCCTTTTCGAGTGCCGAACCATACGAGATGCCGCAGGTCGTCGAACCGCTGTCATTTACAGTTGAAGAGGTGCAGACTGCCATTCAACAGCTCAAGCGTGGCAAAGCTGTACCTACCGCCAGTTTGCCAGCTGATGTGTGGTTGCTGGACGCAAACTCAATGGCCCAGGTTTGCACCCGCATCTTTAATCGCTGCAATCTCGACCATAACCGCTACCCAGCAGAAGCCACATGCTGTGAGCTGTCGCTCCTCCAGAAAGCGGGACGAGCAGGGCGCCGGCCACAGGATCTGCGCCCGCTCGGACTGCAAGATCCGGGTTCGAAGACGCTGGCAGTGGTACTCAGGTCTCGCATTCTCCCTTACATTACGGATTACATAGCCACCCGACCTCAATACGCTTACTGTCCCGGTAAAGCTATTGACGAAGCAATAAGTCGAGTGGCCCGACATTGTAAGTATGTGAGGGACAGACTCGAGAGAGGGACCCTGAGTGTGCATGACCGGCGTGCGGGTAGGACCGAGAGCACCTGTCATGGAGGAATAATGATAAGTGTTGACCTCTCCAGAGCTTTTGATGAACTCCCACGATCATCCTTAGACAGCTCCATGCAGGCAGCAGGCATTCCCGAAAACCTCCGTGCTGCGGTAATCGCACTTCACGAGTCCTGTAATTATGTTGTCTCCCACGGCCCCCACAAGCAATCCTTCCCTATGGGCAAGGGGGTTAGGCAAGGGTGTACGTTAAGTCCCCTGCTTTACACGCTATACAGTTGCTGGTTCTTCGACATGCTTGCAGCTCGGACGTCCATCTCGTGGGCCCGCCGCCTTGCAACACTTTTCGCAGATGATAGTCATGCTGCACTCGAAGTTGAGTCTCTGCAAGACTTGAACTTCGTACTTAGAACCATCAGAACTCTGTTTGCGTTATTTCAGGAAACGGGAATGAAAGTGAACCCTGCCAAATCCAGTATAGTGGTCGGGTTGAGAGGAAGTGCAGCAAGACGTTGGCTGCGACGCCACGCGTGCCTGCTTGATGGCAAGCAAGCCCTCAGCCTGGGTGTGCCAGGTTCCCATCTGCTTATCCCAAGGGTTCCTAGTCTGGTTTATCTCGGGGTAGTAGCTTCATACGGGCGGTTTGAAGTTCAGACCTACGAGCACAGGCTGAAGGCCGCAATGCATAATCGGCAGCGCCTGGTCCGCATACTGCACAGCCAGAGACTTTCGGTCCAATATCGGGTCCGCTTGTATGTGGCCTGTGTGAGATCCACTCTGATGTATGGCTTGCATGCCATGGGGTACTCCATAGAGGTTCTTAGACGGTTGGAGGGATACGATGCCAGAGCCCTACGCGGCATAGCCCGATCCCCAGTGCATCTCACCAGAGAAAGCAATGTCTCACTCCGGAAGCGACTGCGCGTCACATCCCCACTGGAGGCACTGACGAGCACGCTGCAGCGAAGAGCTTCGGTTAGTAGGGATCTTGAGGCTAGGGTTTGGTTTAGTGGACATCATGCCAGCTTCGCTGCCGTTCCGCAAAGTCAGTGCCTCATGCCGACGGAGCATGACACTCCCTGCATAGGCGTACCTTGCGACATTTGCGGCCAGTACTTTATCAGTCACCGGCACATGCGATCACACCGCACGAGGGCGCATCTGAAGCACCTGAAGCAGCCTAATGAGGACAAATCGAGAGTGTCAGGTGTTCTCGCAGCCAGTGAATATAGGAAGTACACCGTTGATGGCATGCCAGCCTGTCGTTTCTGCGGGTCTAAGTTCACTCGTGTGGAGGGGTTGAAGAAACATATGCGTAGAGGTTGCCCGGCCCTACACATCACAACCCCAAAGATTCCGCCTGACACCACAGCGCCAGGGGTGGTCACTGACCCAGAAGTCCAGGTAGCTTCTGGGCAGGGAGAGCTGATTAGGTCATCAGCTCTCCGGACCGCCCCCGCTAGTGAGCCAGATCCGCCTCTCTTTTCCGAGCCGACCTTTCAGGCCACACTGAGCAAGGGTTGGAAGCAAGCTGTGCAAAATGCAGACTTCTGTCAGAGATTGCGCACCAGCTGTGTTTTCTGTGGTCAGTGGGTATCACTGATCGGGCCAGGATGCAAGCAACACATGCGACTGATGCATCAGCAAGAATGGAACTTCGCGCCCGCTGCCATCGCTCGCATCAGCAGTCTGGGCCTCGACCCGTGTAACCCCTGCCGGTACTGCCTTTAAGCCCGTGAAGGACCCTCGCAAGCACCTGCATAGCTGTACGCCGCTCTTCCAAGCATCTCTTGCCGCGCTCAACCTGTCGCAGGAGCCCGCTGCTGAATCATGGCGGAACAGATGGAGGTGGATGCCCGAGCCGCCTATGCCAAGCAGCAGATCGATCTATGCTTCGAGCACGACCAGGAGGGCGAGAGGCCCGACAAGGAGGCCGACGCGGAGGAAGCCAGGCCACCCAAGTGGGCGAAGCCGGAGGGCAAAGGCTCCTCACAGGATGGCTGGGACAATTGGCGGAGCAAGAAGCGCAACTGGGGCGCGGCGAAGGACCAAAGCTGGGGCCAGGCCTCACAAGGGTCCCAGGTGAACCAGCTGCTGACGACGCTCACCAAAGCGGTGTTGAGGCACGAAGCCGATCTCCAAATGTGGAGAACCGACACCAGTTTTGTGATCTTCGTCGATACTTCACCCACTCATGCCTGGCAGCCATTCGGGACGCCGTGGAACGGTGGCAGGAGCTGTTCATCGCGGGCAAAGTGACCATGGCACTGAAGACGACCCTCTTCATGGGAATGATGAGCAAGCTCAAGAAAGCGGTGGAGGAGCTCCAGGTCGACGAGAACAAGATCGGCCGTTGCAAGGAGGCAGGCTGGGTCAAAGAAGGAGCCACAGCCCTCGACCCAGCCTTCGTTTACCATGCCTGGGACACCAAGAACAAACAGCAGGTGGAAGCGGAGACACAACCGCTACCGCTGACCACCGTTCTCAAGGACCTCGACGTGGCCTTGCGGTGCCTCTCCAAAGAAGGTGTTCTGCTTCGCTTTCGGAGCACCCAGGAGCTCACGGAGAACATGACGGGGGAAGTCGTCCCGTTCATGGCGACGATCAGCCTCCGATCAAAAGAAGCCGACGACCTCCACCAGATCATGCAGCGTTTGGCCGGTTGCGCGTGCTGCAAGTTGCTGGGGATGCGGATCAAGCCGGAAAGGGGTGCACGCTCCAACATGAGCAAGCTCCTGGAGCAAGCATATATGAGTCAGGACTTCTGCGAATGGAAGCCGAGGAGGAACAACCGTTCCCAGGGCTCGGCCTAGGGCGGCCGACGCCCGATGAAGCCGCGCCTAGGGCGGCGCGGCTGCGGCTTCGACCGAATTTACGCCTGCCTCAGGCCCGGTTGGCCAACCCAGCAGGTATGAATCTGTGCTATGCTAACTCGGCACTGCAGGCTTGGTCGTGGCTGCGGGAGCTTGCTGACTCCCCGGAGTCATTGCATGGCTCAGCTCAGGCCAGCGCGCGGATATTGCATGCTGCACATACAGTGCTCTTAACCGATTGCCTTGCGTTGCATCCTGTGTTTCGTACTTGGCCGGAGCTGTCTCGACAACACGACGTAGGCGAGTTTTGGCAGCACCTGGTTGCCTCCTGGCGACTGGATGCCTTTGCAGGCCGGTGGCAAGCATGCACCGATTTCCCCTTTAGGATTGTAGACCATGGTTCCTTGGACTGTCCCATCACACTGCACCTGAATGGACATACACTCCAGGGTCTCATAAGTAACTGGCGGCTTCGGTGTACGGCATTGCTACCAGTAGTGGTGCAGTCTGCTTCCAGCTTAGCAGGTTTCAGAGGGATGGGGCGAAAGACATGAAGCCCATCGCCATCCCGCCAGGCTTACGCGTGAGCCTGCCGCACTTCAATGCTCCAACAGAGAGCATTGAGGTTGCTTCACAAGACTACCGAGTAGGATTCGTTATCTATCACCAGGGACCTACCATACTCTGTGGGCATTATCAGGCCGCTCTTAGCTACCCGGACACCACCCAGGATCCAGTCACGTGGCGGTACATGATCTGTAACGATAAGAAAGCCCCTAGACCTGCTAGTTCCCGAGACCTCAAGCTGATAGAACGTAACTCCTACCTGGTTGGTCTTCTTCGATCATAGCACGCAGCCGGGCCTCCTGGCAGCCGTTTCTAGGCCCTGGCTGCCCAATCTTGCAGGTGTCACTCCGAAGAGATACGACGCATTTCAAAATTCCGTTGCCAATGGTTTTCGCTGCAGATGTCCACAATCCTGTACAGACTTCGCTACACACAATTGCCATGTATCTGTTGCACCGTCTTCTGATAGTTTTGGCTAGCTTCAGCCGAAAGCCTCGTTATTCGTGCCCATACGACAGCACGGCCCTCAGCCTGCTCGCCAGCTCCAGTGCTTCTCATAACGCCACTACATAAGCATGGCTCAGCCGAGGGTAGAGGTTGAAGTTTTGGATGTCCCTGGGGATGTACATGATGACATCCTGGAAGCCTACCTGCTGTTGAACTGTGCCAGCAATCTCTTCATTGAGCTACATGGCACATTACCAGCTCCTCACATAGGTATGTATTCCATAAATGACCTCGTGCTGTGGGCTACAGCGCAGCTGGAGTCACCTCAGAAGGAGCGCTTCCTTGGCTATGCTGTCGAGCTGTCGCGAGTCTTTGCATGTCGAGCGCATCCTATCCTCCCAGTGCCTTCACAAGAGTGTGTTGAAAAGGCTAGTGCTGCGGAGGCGCTCGCGCGTAGCTCGCTGGCAGAGGGTGTTTGTCCGGTTTGGTCAGCAGCGCGACAGGTGGCTGGGCTACTGTGCCACGAGTTACCAAGACATAAGCATATGACTACGCAGGACAATGCAGCGTCATTTACAGTGGGGGCCTTCTCTAGCGGGCCCCATCATGGGCTATGTCGGTCTACCATGGCACATCCCAACACAGCTCGCCTGTTGAACTGTCTGGTGGTGCATCTTTGTCCTCACCACCGCTGGACGACGCTTGCAGTGCTTTTCAATTACGCCACGCAGCCACACATTGATCGCTGTAATGGCCCATCGCCAAATCTGGTGATTAGCTTGTCCTTGCATGAGGGTGGCGAGATTTGGATTGCACACGCACAGGGGTGCGAATACTTGGAGCATCAGGGCCAAATGGTTCGAGGAGATCGTTTCCTGAATCTGCTTCAAGCGGTGAGGTTCCCAGCTCATCGTTTATTACATCACACTTGCGCATGGCAGCATTTTGACAGGGTCAATTTAGTTGCCTATACGGCACAACGGTGGGAAAAACTGGGACAGCCCATGCATCAACGGCTTGAAGAGATGGGCTTCGTTCTCCCTGATCCGGCACAGCCCATTGTACAGCCCTCCATAATGCAGGATTGTCTTCCCTGCGTTTTGAGACACTAAGCGTCGAGCCATCGCAGCTCTCAGCACACTGCAAAAGTGGTTGAGCTTCCTTAGGTAGTACTAATCTGTGCCTCTGTAATCAGGTAGTGCATCGGCCCATACGGCGTGGATGTGCTGTCAGGTTGCTGAACTGGAGGATAGTCAAAGCCGGAAAAGTTCCATGGTTGCCACTGTAGCCTTGACATTGCACTGCTGAGAATGCTGGGCTTACTTGCTCAGGTCATGCCCCCCTGCGACACAGATGGCTGCACACGCGAGGTCAATGGTAATCGTCTATACTGCTGCTCTGAGTGTCATCACGGTTCGCACAGCCGAAGATGCAATAGACGTTTTCGCCGTGGCTTGAGAAGCTGTATATCGGTTTGCCTCACGACCAGCTGTGCAAGGCTGGTGGCATACACTCACACTCATTGCTGTTCGGAGTGTCGTGCCGCTGGTGGGCGGCAGCACAAGAAAAGCTGCAATCATCGTCAGATTGCTTTGCAGCCTGGGACAAGTGTAGCGCCGCAGGCTGCCATTGAGAGGCCTTTCCCAGCTGAAACAGCTGTTGTTATTGATTTAGAAGCGATGGATTGAAGGACATCATTCCATGTTCTCTTAGCTGTGGGGGTCGCCAATAGTGCGGCGCGGTCTTCGAACCGCCGGACATATGTCTGTCTCTCATCGTCGAACGCAGGAGCTTTGCGAGACGTGGGCAATGCAATACTACTACTACTACTACTACTACTACTACTACTACGACTACGACTACTACTACTACGACTACTACTACTACTACTAGTACTCCTCCTACTACTACTACTACTACCACTACTACTACTCTGTCCGCAAATATTTTTTTGATGCTTAGCAATTTTTTTTTGATGGCCGCAGGGTCAAATTTTTTTGATGTCTGTCAAATTTTTTTTGATGCTTCACCCCGTTTTGAGATGTGTGCGTTGCGTCCCTGACAGGCCAACGCTGACATCACAACGCAGGAGTGCCAGTGAGGCGGCGTGCATGTCTCTGCAGCCATTCATGGTGCAAGCTGAGCCGTGTGCAGTTGGCAGGCCAAGAATGACAAGTCGAAAGGCAAGTGAGGCAGCTTTCTCTAATTAGACCAGAATTCGAAGTGTGCTTGGCAGTTGTCAAGATTGTCCATGATTCTCGGTGCTTCACAAGGCTCGGTTTGTTCTGGAGCATGAACCTAGTGTTTCTAGGTAAGGGTTGCTGTGGCAGCAGGGTGTGTGCGTGTGTGTGCAAAACCAGGAGTTGGTTCAGCTCAAGTTGCGGAAACGTTCGCCTGCAGAATCCTGCAGACCTTGCAGTGCCACAGCATTTGGGGCTTGGGATTTCTAGGAATCCTGAGATTTCACCAAGGGGCGGTGCAGTTCCTGCTAGAAAAGAAACATGACGTGTCTGCTTTCTTTCCAGGCTTTTACGGCGTGCAGCCATCTGGCGACTGCAGCATGTTTTCTCGATCAAGCTCAAGCTCAGACTCCCTGCGCACTGTCTTCTCAGCTGAGTGCCATGAGATGCCATGAGTCTCGCGTGATCCCTGTGCCGTCATATGCGCGATGAGTTTCTCTGATCCAAATTTGCAAACATCTGTGCAATTCAAGTTGTAGCAGAAGCCTGCCAGCACGATCACATCAAAGACGAGCCCCACCCCCGTTCATCCAGGCTTCCTTTTTGAAGCTGATAGAAAAGCTGGCATGATCGCCCCGCCATGGCTCCATGGAAGATATCATGAGCTAGCCACTTCCCTCCGGAGGTGCGGGCTGAGAGTGTTGAGCATGTGCAGGTTTGGGAGTTCAGAGAGGTCTCTCAGTTCTTCTAGTTCACACTCTACTGTTCCAAAAGGGCAGGCACCTAAGAGAGGCACGAGTGCTTTTAGGAGAGACGAAATGCATAGACAGCAAAGGGCAAAGTTGCTCACATTCGAAGGCAGCGTTCTCGCCGGGAAGGGTTTGCCATGTGTTTGCTCTTGGCCAGGCAAATACGAAGGCGCCTCACCCACAAAACGCCGGGTGCTCAAAGATCAAGTTGCGAGGCTTCAGCGAGTCCGCTCTAGTGCAGAGCAGATTTTTCCATGTTTTTTTGAAGGAGCCCAGGATCAGGACTCCCCTGCGCAGTGGTTCAAGAGAAGCCTTCACAGCGCATTTGCGCACCCTGTCTCCGCATAAATGCAGCAAGCCATGCTTCGGCTGATCGCAGTCTTCGCGCCTGTGCTGGCGATGAAGACCAACACTTCCTCCGTGCAGAGGACCGCTCCTTTCGATGCGCTCGAAGGAGCCAACGTCACGGGCAAGGACGCCAAGGCTCTGGAAGACGTCATCCTGAAGAATGCGCAGCACGACCTCCAGCAGGCAGCAGAGGTGCCAGAGGCGAAGACCCAGGACTCCAACAAGAACGAGACCAAAGGCCAGGGCCAGGGCGGCGATGACACGCACAGCACCAAAGACGGCCTGGCCGAGAACCTGGAGTTCTTCTTTCTCAAGGCGGGCGGATGCCCCACACCCTCAACCACAAGACTAAACCACGAAGCCACGCCGAGCCGATAAGACCGTCTGAGGTGGCCCAACTCGAGCCCTGGCAGCACTCAGTCGCTCTTGGAGAGCAGCATCTTTTGTACACATTGACATGAGCTCCATCTGAGGAGACAGCGGTCGAGCTCCAGCAGCTTGAGCTTCGAAGCTGCCACGACAAGATCGGCAAGTTGGAAGCCCTCCTGGAGTTGGAGACGACCAAGTTGTCCTTGCTGCAGCTGCAGCAGAGGGAGGAGCAAAGGACCCAGCGGGCGCAGACGATCTTTCAGAAAGTCGTGGAGAAGCACCATGAGCAGCGAACAAAAAAGGTCTTCGTCACGCCAGTGAAGACAATGGAGGGCCTGGAGACCCTGGAGCCCCGCAAGCTTCATGCCCAGAAGAGTAGCTTCTTGAGGGAGCGCCAAAGGCAGTCCGAGGCAAGTGGGCAGAACCACACCAGAAAATGGTTCCATCACTTTGCGAATACCGTCACTTCGGCTGTTGGCAAGCTCAAGTCAGGCGGCGAGCTGGTCGGGGAGGCTCTTGGTGATGCCTACGAGGCATCCACGGACCAAATCTCTTTCGTGGCCAACACCGTCATCGATACCGTCGAGAAAGCTATGGACATCCTCAATCGTGGCTTCACATCATGGAGCGCAAATTGTATTTATTATTGGCCGGATGTCAAGGTGAGCACGAACGACATCCACATTGATTTTCCGGGATCTTATTGCCATCTAACTTTGATGGGCCAGAAGATCAATCTCCAGAACACTGATTGGCAGTCTTTTTCAAAGTACGCCGCTCCATCTACCGGCGTGTTTCCACAGGCTTTGAGCTCTGTGGCCACCTTGGGGAGTCAGCTCACGGACTGCCTAGAAACACAGCCCAGGCACTTGAGTGCGGGACTCAAAATGGTCAGGTGCCTTGCCGGGCAAATCGTAAGCAGAATGCCCTGGGATGGCGTAGAGGAGCTTCACGGATACCTCATGCAGCGTTCCGGGCCCTTGCAGTCTGTGGTCACCATGGGGAGTCAGCTCACGAGCTGCAGCACACAGACGGGGCCCGGCATAGTTGAGTGCCTTGCGGAAAAGATCGTCAACGCCCTGCCCTTGGATTCCCTCATTGACCGTTCCGGACCCCTGAGGTCTGTGGTCACCTTGGGGAGTCAGCTCACGGACTGTCTAGAAACACAGTCCGGGCACTTGAGTGCGGGACTCAAAATGGTCAGGTGCCTTGCCGGGCAAATCGTAACCAGAATGCCCTGGGGTAGCGTAGATGAGCTTCACGGAAACCTCTTGCAGCGTTCCGGGCCCTTGCAGTCTGTGGTCACCTTGGGGAGTCAGCTAACGAGTTGCAGCGCCCGGCACAATTTGGTGCCTTGCCGAGCAGATCGTAAGCAGAATGCCCTGGGATAGCGTGGATGAGCTTCACGGATACCTCATGCAGCGTTCCGGGCCCTTGCAGTCTGTGGTCACCTTGGGGAGTCAGCTCACGGACTGTCTAGAAACACAGCCCGAGCACTTGAGTGCGGGACTCAAAATGGTCAGGTGCCTTGCCGGGCAGATGGTAACCAGAATGCCCTGGGGTAGCGTAGATGAGCTTCACGGAAACCTCTTGCAGCGTTCCGGGCCCTTGCAGTCTGTGGTCACCTTGGGGAGTCAGCTAACGAGTTGCAGCACACAGACGGGGCCCGGCACAATTTGGTGCCTTGCCGGGCAAATCGTAAGCAGAATGCCCTGGGATAGCGTGGATGAGCTTCACGGATACCTCATGCAGCGTTCCGGGCCCCTGCGGTCTGTGGTCACCATGGGCGATGAACTCGCGAACTGTGCGGAGACAGGGGCCCAGGGCCTTGTGGGGTGCCTGGGCAACAGGATCATCCAGTACGTGCCCCCTCTGAGCCACCTGCACCGCATGAACGAGATGCTCGCTGAATTGCTGGAGGGTTTTGCGAAGATGGCGGCAACTGTGGCGGGCCAGGTCTTAAGGGGCGGATCATCTCTGATCCAACAGGCTGTCAAGTCGCCGTTCCCAGCCGCCGGGGCTCCCCCCCGGGTTCATCACTCCGGCCAGAACCTCCTCATCAAAACCCACGCACAAGAACACAAGCAGACTCTGTCGGCTCTGCACCAGACAGAGTCTCAGGAGGAGGACGCCGGCTTCGACTTCAAAATCCACAAAGACGCGGGCAACTACCAGTCCAGGCTGGTTAGCCAGCCTCTCTGCTCGCACTGGACGTTCTAACAGATCCCCCTGCGTGCGTGCGTGCGTGCGCGCGTGTGTGTGTGTGTGTTGCTGCTGCTTTCGCTCATTCGCGTGTTGTCTGTGTTCCGAACCTGAGAATTTCGTGCAGCAAACCGGTGCTGGGGCTTTTCGAGGTTCAACGGCTACGAGAAAGACACGAGCTCCTGCCTGGCCTTCGCGCCCAAGGCAAAGCATGGACAAGGTGGCCAGGCCACCGAAGCAGACTGGCAGGCAGGACCGTTCGCGGTGCCCTTTCTGCACTCGGCACCCCTGGCCCTGCCAGGTCCAAAATGAGGATGACTTCGTGGCCCTGGAACCGTGGGCAGTTCCATGTGGAAACCAGTGGATGAAGAAGAACTGGGACAAATGGCAAGGTGCCACGGAACTTTGGAGCACTAGCTGTCACTAGCTTCAGTAGCCTAGTAGAGCGTACGTGCACTTGTACAGTCTCGAAAGGCTACTCCTTCTACACAAGCGAGCTGTCTATTGAGAAGTGCGTGACCGTGACTTACGCTCTCACTTTGCAGCCTGTTCTGGCCTTTGTGGGCGGTGTGCAATTCGATCTAATGCCCAAGCCCCTGGCAGAAGTGGACACGACCGTCTGCTGGCCGACAGGCCGACCGGACGGCCAGGACTTGAGCGTCTTGCGCACGGAGATCAAGACCAGCGGCCTCCTCCTCTTCCGCAGGTCCCTGCGTCTCAGCAAACGCTTCGGTGAGCCCACCGACTTTGTCGACAGCCACGTGACCAAGAGCACTGCTACCTGGAACCATGGCGCGAACCCTCGGGCAGCCATTTCCAGGACGAAGCTACTGCAGACGAGCGAAAGCAGCAGCCAGAACGGAACTCAGGAGAAGGAGTTCCGCACGGCTCAGGAAGGCCAAAGCGCCGAATGGATGGAGGAGGAGGACCTGTACTTGGCTTCCGCGAACTACTCCAGGGATCTGGGAGTCAACCTGACCACGGAACCTGGGCTGTGCTCTGAAAGCTTTCACGCTTCTTCTGCCTCGGGTGACGAGCAAGAACTCAAGAGCCGCAACCCCAAACCCTAAACCCAACAGCACAGCAAAGAAGCATTGTAAGTTCAGCCTTCATGAAAGACCTTGAAGCAGCCCCAAGCCTGAACCGGTGGGGGTGGGGGGGGGGAGCTTCCTTCGTCAGGAAATGCGCGGGATGAATGCAGAAAGGCGTCTGAGCCTGGCCGAAGCCTTGTCCCAGGGAGCCCCTCGGAGGAAGCTGCATGTAGTGTTTAGGAATGTCTAGGAGTTGCGACAGGCTTCCTTTAAGGGCCTCCTTTCTAGGGCCTCCAGTCCTCCCCACAAGCGACTGATCGAGCTGCTACGAGACCCCACGCCACACTGCCACACACTGCCGCCACTGCTTCTGAAGTCTGAAGTAGTTCCAGAAAGACGACTCGGGGACTGCGATCTGTTTGTGATAGCTGTTGTCCTGGGCAGTGATATGTTGTGTTCCATGTCGGCCTCCGGTCTGTTTTTGCCGTGAAATTCTAGCCTGTGCCTGGCAGCACGTGATCCTGACATGTTTTAAAGGTCTTCCAGCTCTTCCTTTTTGAGCACCCCGGGATGGTGAACTTCAAGCTTCAGGCTCTCTTGGAGGGGAACGACTTCGAGTTACGCACGCAGATGGGTTTCGGCCCTTTCGCTTCCGGGGAGACGCAGTTTAAATTGGTGAACATCGCGGACCAGTTCGAGGTGGTGCTGCACGCACTCCCCTTCGTGTCCTCCGACAGCAGAAACAAGGCCCTCGAGTCTTTGAGGAACTTTGCGAGCGACCAGCCACCGCCAACACCTGTCGTGCTGCGGCCTGAATCGATCTAGACTCTCATAGGCACTGCCGGTTGCGAGCCTGAGATTCAGAACTTGTGAGGAGATCGAAAAAGAGATTCTAACTCCGCCGAAGTCTAATTTGGTGCCTCATCAAGATAGTGTTCAAGTGCCGCCTTCGAAGTAGAGTTAGGCTTGCACTCTGCGAATCTCTGTTTTGGTGTTGGGATGGAGGTTTTTAATACTAACAGTATGAGGCTTAAAGTAAAAGTACGCAAAGTTCAAGCCGTGCTTGTTTACCCATTGCTTTCCGGTTTACGGAAAGTGAAGTTCCTAAGATCGGCCACCTACCCGCGAGCTCCCATCAGTGTTTCTTTTGCCTCCTGTGGGCCAGGTAGCATGGATGGCGAGGGAACCGAGGCTTGCCCACTCGGATAGAGCCAAGCTAACAATGAGATGGTGTGGATCTGCTCAGGAGGATCGAAAGAACAAAAAGACACCGAAAGACAAGAAGGTCCGTCCCGCAAAAGCCGTGACTGGGTTGAGGGTTCGGGACCTCGGCATGTGCCGCGCAGCGTGCGACCAGGAGAAGAAGGAAAAGAAGGAGACGACGCCAGCATTGAAAACAGTTGCCACCACAGAAGAGACCCGAGCTGACACGGACACTGCAGGAGAAGAAGGGCAAGGAGCAGGCAGAGCTCCTTTCACTTGCAATGGCCAAGCTTCCTGGAGGGCTTGCTTATCGGAGTCACTTTGAATTTGAGCCCCGAGGACATGCTACCAGTAACCGGGGCCATGTTTGCAGGAGAGCACGGACGTCCCGGCTACAGTGGTCGGGGCTGTCACGGCAGCCGGGTCCTCAAAGGAAGGATGACACTGCTGTCGTCTTTGAGCTTTCTTCGTGGGGGGGGGGTGGCATCGTGAGATGAACTGCGATGAATGCTACGGCTACACCTGTCTGAGGACTCCAGCCCTTCAGCCGGCGTGGAGGTCAAGCCCAAAAAGCTTAAGGCCAAGAAAGAGAAGAAGGAGAAGAAAGGCGAGCCTCCGGATCCGGAGGACCTGCAGGGCCTCCCAGACGAGGCGGGCAGCGCACATATGCGGCATGGGACGGCGTGCGAAAAAACACTTGCAAATTGTAAGACGCTCTTTGCCTGCAGGCCAAGGATGCCGAGGAGCCCGAAGATCGGGAAGACCGGCATAGAGAGTCCCAGGTCGCTTCGGGGTTTCGGGCCGAGCCAGGCGAGGCAGGCGAGGCAGACGTGGCCGAGGAGGCGGAGGCGAAGCTGGACACGGAAGTGGAGATCGCGGACGAGCCTCGTGCCAGTGATCCGGCGGTGCAGTTCGTGGGCGAGCAGCCTGCAGGGGAGGAGGAGACTGAGGAGACTGGTGATCTGCCAGAAGTGAGGGTTGCCCTTCCTGACGACGAAGTGGAGCCATTGATGGGCGATGAGCATCGTCGCAGCCAAGCGCCGTCATTGCCGGCGGAGGACGTCACGACAGGCTGCCAGCATGGAACATCCAAAATGACAGAATATTATTTTGGGGGGCTCCTTATTAGAAGTATAGCATAATGTACCCCAAAACCCTATTCTATTGTGTGTGTGGTGGACAGGTCCCCCGCCTCTCCAGCTTGGGAAGGCCTCCGGCCTGGCTCACGACATCAACATCCCAGAGAGGGAAGCTTCGGCTAAGAAGAGCCCGCAGCACATGGGTTTAGGGTTTCGGGTTTTAGGGTTTCGGAACCCTAAGCCCTAAACCCTTTTCCCGGTTTCCGGTCTCCTTTCTGTGCCAAGGAAGTCGAGGGCCCTCGGCGCTACAGCCTCACAGGCCAAGAGAGCGTGCGCCGGTGCATCGAGCGAGGAGCCCGGAAAAGCCCGAACGGTCGAAACCGAGCCGAGAGCCGAGAGACGCCGAGGTGTGATTTGGTCTGGGACATGGCGGTAACGCACTGCTCCCGGTGCCAGAAGCAGCTGGTGGACGGCAGCATCCAGGCCGTGATCGTGGCCGGTGCAGACAGCCCGGAGGGTAGCAGACGCGGTCAGGTGACGGAGTTCCTAACCGGCAGCCAGTACCTGGCCAAGGAATTCAACATGGAGTCTACCATGTTAGTTAGCTCGTGCCTTGATCGCAGGTGTCAAAGGTACTCATCTTTTTCTTGCCTGAGGTTGGAGTTCCTGGAACAGGCCTTCAAGCGGTACGATGTCGATGGCTCGGGGAGACTGGACGGCAAGGCCTGACGTGGGGTACAGAATAGATGTGTTGGTGCGACAGAGACACAACTTAAGCTTTCACATTTTTCATGTTTCCTGGAGGTGTTAGGCAGGCATTGAAATGAACCAATACAGCACTTCGGGGCTGTTGCAAGGAAGGCAGAGAATTCGAGGCCCTGGGAGATCTTGAACTGCTTGAGCTGCTGCACAGGAGCTTCGAATGGCCGTGCGAGAACTTGGCTGGGTCTGCAGCTCGGCGGTCCCTCGAAGTCGGCTCGTGTCTTCGTGCAAAGCTCCCTTTCCGAGTGTCCCAAAGCACACAGTCGAATTAAGATGCCGTACATCGTAGATGCCCATATCTGCAGGACACGAAGCAGGACATCTTGGACAGGTGGGCTCGCAGCGAGCCCAGATACCTGCAAACACGTGCCGGGCAGATCTCCAGCAGCATAAAGTGTACCTGACACTTTAGGTATGGTTATGCTATAAGTAATTCTCAGTTATAAGTTAGAAGTAGCTTAATTCAGTTAAGTGGTAGAGCAGTGTGTAACACTGGCCTTGCATTCGCCTCTGGGTATGTTGCAGAATTTGTGCCTAGCAGCGGCAGAGAAGCCCCGGCAGCTGCTGGGCGTAGGAGACTCCGGCACCAGAGGCCCAATGCAAGACGCCATTATAAGTGATTATGAAACGGACCAGCTGGAGTAATTCTCATTATCGAATGGTTATCGGCGCACGCCAGATTCGCAAAAAAGCGCCGTCGTGCAGCTTCTGAGGCGTTGGGGGAAACCAGGGCCTTAACCTGGACCAGTTCAAGAACTTGGTTGCTTGGGACTGAGTCTTCATATCACCGGGCCTGATGATGAACGTCATGCTGGAATGCTTGACTTTGAGGCCAGTGGCAAGCTAGGGAGGAAGACCTTCAAACCCATCACAGGGAAAGCGAGTCAGGCAAGCCCGGTTTGGGGAACGAGCTTCTCGCGTTGAGGACGCCTGTTTCAAGTTGAGGCACTCAAAGATGAGAGAAGACAACTACTCGCCATGGGAGGCCAGAGTGCTTGGTGATCCGTGTACTGTCAGCTTGAGTGCCTGTGATTCAGATTGAAACCATTCCCGTTGGATGATCTGACTGGGGCGCGCCGTCTCTGCAGGGGCAGCACCGCAGTTTTCCGCGCGCCAGAGGCTGTGGTGTATTAACCTCCAAGTGTCTTGTGCCACGGAGATATCCAGCGACATCTCCTCTACACCGTACAGCGTGTACGTGCGCTTTGGTCTTCAGTGTGTTTTTTCATTGCTTTGGTTCTGCATCGGAAGGCCGGGCCGACGCGGGGCGTTGATCCCTGGCGCGACGCAGGAGATGCTGACACCGGGTCCCTCGGGCGCTGTCCATCTTGCGGATACCAGGAGTTGGCGCCGGACGAGCAGCCGCCCCAGCACCACACGTCCGAGGAAGCTTCCAGAAAAGGAACCGTCCAGGTCGCTTTCGGCGCCGACTCCTGCGGGCCCTGCTTTCGGCGAAGGAGACCAGTTTTCCGAGCTCCAGCCTTCGAGCCCTAAACCCTAAACCCTAAACCCTAAACCCTAAACCCTAAACCCTAAACCCTAAACCCTAAACCCAACCATGTCCGGCCCGAAGCTTCGAAGGCCAGAGCGTCTTCGAGGAGCTGCCGGCCCATCGCAAGCTGGAGCTCATCGAGGCTCGGGTCTCGAAGATCCGGGGGTTAGGGTTTAGGGTTTAGGGTTGAGGGTTTAGGGTTAAGGGTTTAGGGTTTAGGGTTTAGGGTCCGACTCGGACTCCTCGGCGTTTCTTCGCCTTTTCGGTTCCCCTCCCCCTCTCTTCTTCGGGTTTTGGGTTGGGGTTTAGGGTGTCGGGTTTAGGTTGGGGGGGTTTTGGGTTGGGGTTTAGGGTGTAGGGTTTAGGGTCTAGGGTTGAGGGTTTAGGGTTTAGGGCTCCGAGTCTGAGTTTAGGCTTGGGCCTTCTGGGACGCGGACCACTCGGGCTTCCTGGAGCCTTGGCCTCAGATGGCGTGCAGGTCAGCAGAATGCCGGTAAGGCGGATCCGAAGCGAATAAAACCCAGCCGTAGACTCCCAGAAAGCCGAAAAGGTTGAAGCAGTTGAAGCCCCAAGCGACAGGCCAGATACCTTCCGAAACGAAGCCTTGCCTTGTTGGAGCTTATAGCAGATTGTGTGACCGGGGGCTCAATTCGGGGAGCACTTCCAAGAAACTTCTTCGGAGATTGGTCTCGACTGGACTGAGGATCCTGGTGCATCCCTGCGTGTGCTAAAGCTGTACTGGTGCTGTTAATCCTCCGGTCAGAACACGCTTCATGGTCCAAGACTCCCCAGCGACTGATGTTCCGCAGTGTCCTGAGCACCAAGGCCGATCGAATTAATGAATGCTTCGAAAGGCCTTGTTGGGGAGTCAAGGGCAGCAGGCATCATTTCACTGCAACATCGTGAAGTCCGTCGCAGCTCGCAGAGAGTGTCGGAGTACGTACGGCAAGCGCATCGAAAAGTTGAGGTTGTGCCATAATCCTGGATTCCTAGAGTTTGTAGATCCAGATATGGTGACTTCCGCTGTTGTGAAAGAGCCTCTCTGTGCCTCTGTGTGTGCCAGGGCTGGGATTTCACCTTCCCATCGAATCCATCGTTGCCGCCGGTTTCTGAGCACAGGGCTCTTGTTTGCATGTGGGGGGGCTGGCTATAGAGAGCATGCAGCGATTTGGCGCAACTTTTCTCTCGCTCGAGCCAGAAGCATTGTTCAGGGTTATGGAGCCTGTGTCGAAACCTGCCTACCAGTCAACCAAGCATCGGATTGTTCGAGTCATTTAGAGTCATTGACATCTCACCCTGGGCATCGGCCAGCAAGGTGTGTGGGAAGCACGGCGGAGGAATCGACCAGGAGAATTTCGTCCGGGTCATGTCGCGCAGCTCAGTGGAGACAGCTCGCTGCCGTCAGTGTGCTCATGCGGCTTTTGTAAGAGCTCTCGTTCAGATACTCCAAGTCACCAGCGTGCTGTTGAACTGAGGTCGGTTCAGATCAAGCATCGGGACGAGGCCAGGCCGGGCCAGGCCCCCGGGTACTTTCGGGCAGCGGCCAGACTCTGCAGCCAGGAGCTGGGCCTTTGGAAGGGAGCAAACGCCTTGCCGCTCGAGGAAGGGCTCGATGATGAGGAAGACAGGACCGGACAGCGCGACATACCATAACTCAGGATTTTGTGCGGTGTTTCGTGTTGTGTTCTTCGCGACGAGGTGTGTGTTGGCAGCTGCCTGAATGCTTTGGCAGTTGATAACTATAAAGTCCATGTGGCCAGTACAACGCTTCGCGCCAAGCGGAAGAAGGAGCTAGCGAAGGCTCCGACGGAAGTATCTCACCTCCCGGCCCGGTTCTGTGTCTCGTTGGATGCTTCCAGGCAGAGCTGAACCTTCGGCGCACGAGTGTGACGGAGCCTTGCCAGCACGCTCGAGCTCTTCCGGAAGGAATGCCAAGCGGTCACTTCGAGAAGTTGATCATGTCTGTGAGGACAAGAACTTCCGATGGCGGAACCTGCTGTGCACAAGCCACGCTACAGTGAGCCCGAAGTCTTTCCCAGCACTTCAGTCAGAGCACCGCCGCCTGTCGAAGGTGGGCGAGTATGCCATTGGAGTCAGGCTCAGATGTGAGAGCAGAGAGAGAGAGCGAAAGAGAGGGTCTTGCCCGACAGTAGAGGTGTCCACAAGCGGAAGATCCTTTACTTGTTGCTTAGCACCGGTACGTGAACTGTCACAGTCCATGCAGAAGCCTCCAAGATGGGGTGGAAGAAGAAGAGGCCAAGCTCCACGATCTACTTGACAGGCTGTACTTCGACTTGCTCCTTCTGTTGGTCATCGCCTTCGGTGTCCTGGTCCCAGACTTGCGAGGGGCAAGGGGCAGAGGGAGTGGTTGGAGCTTTGTCGCCATGGATCTTGGGTTGGAGGTGCTAACAGCCACGACTTTGCCATTCTTGCTGATGCTCGGTGGCAGTGGAGGGTTTCTGCTCTTCAGCAAATGTACAGGAGATTGGCTGGTCTCGCTCATTGTGGAAAAAAGCAAAGGATGTGCGCATCCAGCTCCGGTGGAGGTCCCGTGTTGAAGCAGCCCAGGCCTCAGAATCGGAAGAAGACGGGAATCGTCTCATCCTGGCAAGACAGCCCTGCAATCTTGTCCAGGACTGACGACGTGTTGAGCACCTTGGCGAAGTACTCCGTGGGAAACCTGGTGAGGCAGGCTTTGGATCAGAGCGACGGCTGGTGAGACCGGGAGCGCCCAACTCGGGCTCTCCGCCGTGCAGGTCGCCGGCAGCGGATGCCAGAAGCTCATTCTCTTTTAGGGTTTAGGGTTTAGGTTTTAGGTCACCCCCTACGGGAGCCGAGCTGAGCTACTTACGCGTCCAGGCCACGGTGCACATCATGAACGAGTTCTTCGGCTCCATGGCGCAGGGCACCCGGCGACCTCGGTGACCAAACGTGGGTTCATTGTGCTTGGGCCCAGGCTGCTGGGCGTGCTGCTGCTGTACCGCTTCGTGCCCCTCCGAGATCGATGCTTCAGGAAGCCGCGAGTGTGTGTGTGTGTGTGGGCTTCACCACGAGGTCATCATCCACCGGGCAACCTACACGGTGCCCCAGGGGGTCTTGTATTGTGATTCTGCGACTCTCGTGCCCGAGAGACACGCCTTGCCAGACCAACAGTCGCAACCTGGCCAACCTGGCGGTTCAGGCATCGCCCTGTTCAGCAGAAGCCGACGGGGAGCTATCTACGCATGCAGGTCCGCGGTCTTCCCACCGACTTGGGCTACCATCACTTGGGCTACGAAGAGTTGCTTCGTGCCGCGGCCTCTGTCTAGACCTGGAGCTGGTGCAGCTAGTGCCTGCTTACTTTGCGATGTGGCGCTAACTGCTGTCCAGGAGCATTTTCAGACGGTCGCCTACGAACAAGCTCTGCGCGTGGAGTCTGCCTGTGACGACTGCGATGATGTGTCCAGTACAGATGCAGAGAATCAAAGCTGCTTCGGGAGACAGATTTATCGTATGCCAGATGGGCACAGAGCGGGAGCTGGATGACCAGCCTGTCCGAGAGGCTGTCTTGCGGGTTGTGCGAGAGACCTTTGGCCTTGGGTGTATCCGCAACATTCCGCAAACGTATGACAGTTCCAACTCCACCCGCCGAAGTCCTTGTAATTATCTACATCGCCCTTACTGGGCTGCAGTGCGGCTAAGTCTTAGACGAGCAGTGTTCTACAGACGAGAGCTGAGACTTTGCGTGGGCTCTAAGGCCCTAAGGGCCAAAGCCCAGAGTAGCCGAGCCCTGACAGGTCGTCTTATGGCGCAACTATGACGCAGCCGTTCATGGAGTACTCCGGCAGGCTCTGCACTTCTCTACTTACTCTGCCTGCGGTCGGATTGCAACGGAGAAACAGAACGGAAGGGTGAGCATGACCCAATAGACAGCAGCCTCCGTTCTGCACAGTCCCTCTGAACCATGCGCGTACCCGTACCCTGAGCTCTGGCATGCGGCGTTACTGAGTCACTGTGTGTGGCCAGTAGTAAAGAGATCCGCCTCGTCGCGGCCTCCTTTGTGTGCTGTCTGTGCGTGTGCACAGGTGGACCTGCAAGCCAAGCAATTCAGTGTCAACACAGAGCTCAAATTCTTGGAGCAGAAAGCTCGAGAGGCAACGGGTTCAATGAGCTTGACTCCGCGTGGAAACGGGCCAACTCAGCCCGATTTCATCGTCCGCTGTAATTACGTGTAACTTCCGCCCTCCCGATCCCTCAAACGCATGGGAAGCAGCGGCATTGTTCTCCTCACAGATGTCATGCAGCATGCAGTCTGATGCCTGGGCTTTCTAGATAGTGAAAGATGGTCCGAGCCAAATTGAGCCAGCATCGAAGTAATTGTGTGGCAGCACGACCTCTCGGAAGAGCTCGAGCACGACCTTGGCTACAATGCTGGCGGCGGGCTCCATCCTTATCTCACAAATACTTGAAGCCTAGGGCTGAGCCTGAGTGGGAAGCCGACTGACTGCAGAACTTCTTGGCACTCAGGCTTGCCCCGACTTCTGGTCACGAACCCGGCGCTCTTTCCTGTACCTTTGTGATTGCACTGTGTGTGTGTGTGCATAAAAGGCACGAATTCAGATGTTGTATCACCGTCTTTGTGCACATGTATGCATGCCGCATGCCTGTGTCTGTGCCGGCATGTGTCCGCTTAGACTGAAAGAACAACGTAAGATTTGCACAGGCACTCGCACATATGCTGATGCAGACACTTTCTATGACTATAACTCTCGATCTGCTTCGTTTGCCTAGTTGCTTATTTGTCTATGAACCTCTCTATCTGTCTGTCTACTATTAAATCACGTGCGCAGCACAACCATTTAGGCAAATGTGAGCTGTTACCAAGGCCGGCGCCAGTCTACGAAGGGCCGGCAGACCATGAAAGTCATGGCAGACAGGCCTGACCCTGGGTGTACCATAGAATGTGAATGTTGGTGGCGGTGGGAGTCGAAACATCTCGTCAAGCTTCCGTTGAGCCGCGAGGGTTCAGTTCGCTGAGCTCTGAGTTTGCTGCTCCCTTGCACTGATTTCAGGCAGAGCTCAGGGCTCAGCTTTCCTTGATGGCGGCTCTCTGAAGAACTGCTGCGCCAAGTTGGCTCACAGGATTCGGGCAGCTAAGGCGCAGCATCTATCATGAGTCAGGGCCGGGCCGCAAGATGGATCGGAGCACATCCTGAACCAACCCAAACCCGCTACGTGGCTAAGGCCAAGAAGAGACCAACTTCTCACATGACCGGGACTGAGCGGCTGATCTGGAGGAATCACAGCAGGGGATCGAAGACGCATCCAGCAAGGCAGTTACCACCAATGCAGAGCGGATGTACGATCGGATGTGTAGCAGAGCGGATGTTCCCCTCTCAGTTTCATTTGAACGCTGGAAGGTATCCTTGAAGTGTTTCTGTCGACAGACAAGACTGCAGACTGCAGTTGACACCAAGGGTGGCAAGCGATTGGCCAAGCGGCAGACCTACTTGCTCTCAATGCCATCACCCCGGTAATCTACAGTTGACGAGAGAAACAAGACTGCATGTCGGGTGCGTTGCTCATGTGCTCTCCGCCATGCAGGAATGATCTGATAGAGGAGCAGATCCTTGAGATTGAGACGGAGAGGGCGCTGCACTCTGCCGGGGCCTGTTGGACCACTGCTTTCCGACGGGGCAGTGGTGGAAGTAATTTGGTACCGAGGACTTGAAGCCGGAAGAGCGCGAGGCGTAGAGAGCACATGGGTAGCTGTCAAAATTATGGTCCCTTTTTGGGTCCTTATTATAATACGGCACCTATCATTTAGGGTATCCCAAAAGGGACCATAATTTTGACAACTACCCACATGTGTAGTCATGACCTGGGATTCTCCCGTGTCTCTGTGAGGTCATGGGAGCCTTCGTGGTGTTTTGGTGCCAGAGGACTCGAGATGCTGTTCTGGGCCAGTACGGCTGGTCACGCTGCTGCCTCAGCCTGGCCTCAGCCAACTTCTTGCATGTGCAGCGAAAGCCACCTTCTTACCCCATTCCAGTCTTTGTTTGGGCGCATAAAAGGGCAAGTTGCATCAGGCCCGGCCTAGGAGGAGTTTGAGGATGCTTCTCTACGCCCAAGCTGTCCCTGAAATCGTACTCGTACCGACAAGGATTCCCGAAGCCTACCCTGATGAATTATCCAAGGCTGCCTTGTCGCTGAGGGTCTCTAGACCCTAGTGTCACACGGACTATCGATTCTAGGAGGAAGTTCATGTACACCACTACACACGCGGAAACGTAGAGAGGAACAAGGAAGGAACTTGCTCCAGGCTCGTGGTGCTGTCGTGCCTGTTGCCAACGACGGCGCTTGCGCTCGGACCTGAGAACCCGCAAAGCGCAGTTCAACGGCCTTTCCCACACTTTCAGACTCTTGGTGCGTCGTTGTCTTCTGCTGATTGCTAGTGTGTGTCTACGTGTCGTCGTCCGTTCGAACCTGAAGCCTCCAGTTCCAACCAATGCAACCGCCAAGCCACACACGGCCCAAAAATCGGACAAAACTCCCCAAGCCTTCAACCACAAGAAGTCTTAAACCCATAGTCATGGCTTTGGAGAGAAGCAAAAGCGAGCGCTGGTGAACAATAAACTCCAAGTTGCCCAGGGCTCTCTATAGATGCACTTCAAAAGCTGCGCAGCCATGGGGACAGCAAAAAAGGGACCGTGACTGTACTCCTAATCGTAATCTGAAACAAGCATAAGCAGTACCATAACAGCAGTCATCATACACTTTTTCCAGAGTGTACGTCTTCAAAGCTGATCACCCGAAACGATGTTTCACAAAAAGAGCCGGAGAGATTTCTTCGCAGGTCTGAAGTTGCCGTTTGAGGCCGGCAGCTCGAGCTTTGGAGTGCAGGGATGGCTACTGTACTTGGAGGATCATGGGACTTAGTACGTAAGGTTATAAGTCCCCTAATTGGGGTTATAAGTATAAGTATAGTTACCCTAATTATAACCTTACTTACTAAGTCCCATGATCCTTTAAGTAGGGGGAGTCATATGCGCGCATGGTCGGACGCATTTCATGGGAGGGTGTGGAGTTTTGGGCTTGGGCTTTGCGGCGTAAGGTCGTAAGGATTTAGGGTTTAGGACGCGGGTCTAGGGTTCAGGGTTCGGGGTTTGCGGTTTAGTCTTTACCGCTGAGGGTTTTAGTTAGGGTCTAGGGCCTAGGGATCAGGGCATAGGGTTGTCATTTGGAGTTTTTGGGTTTATGGTTCAGGGTTTAGGGTTTGGGGCTTCCGGTTTAGGGTTTTGGATTTCAGGGGCCTAGGGTTTAGGGTTTAGGGCAGTGTCTTGGTTCAAGGGTTCGGGCTCGGGTTTTCGATTAGGTTCTGAGTGTAGGGCTTCGGGCTCAGGGTCGAGGGTTTAGGGCTGGGGTATATAACTGTTCAGGGTTTTACGTTTCGGGTCTGGGGCTTCGGGGTTTTGATGGGGAGTTCGGTGTTATAGGGTTCAGGGTTTGCGGTTTTGGGCTTGGGCTTTGTGGGGGAGGGCAGCAGGGTTGAGGCTTCGGGGTTTAGGGTTCGGGCGAAAACCCACGCATTGCCTACGTCATCCTACGTCTCCAGACACCCACTGCACCTTCGAAACCACGCGCCAATATGGGCCATCTCCGCCCTGCGAGAGCGGGGATCTTTCTTGGTTTGTCAAAGGTCTCCGGCCTCTGGAACCTCTGGAATCAGAATCATAGAGGCCCCCAGAAGGCGTATGCCACTGCGCACGTCGCAGGAGAGCAGTGGCTCCGAGGGCGCCCCCGACGAGGAGGAAGTAGCGATGCCCCCGGAGTGAGGGACGTCACCTTGTTACATCAAGAAAAGCTCTTAGTGAGAGTATTCGAGGATCAAGGGCAGAAGTGCCTTTATGTTGGGACGGCACTAGGAGTTGCTGTGCTTGAGGCGGGAACTGAGACGCTTAGCCGCGCCAGTACCTGCCACCGGGGAAGCCAACAGTACGTTGACATGCGGGCTCTAAATTAGGGTCCGTTTTTAGGTCCCCAATACAGTACTGCACCCTTATAAAAAGGACCCGAGAAGGGAATCTAATTTCGACAACTACCCATGTGAGCATTCCATTGGTGACAGGTTTCTGCTTTGAGAGAACTTCTGGGCTGCCTCAACCTCCCAAAGATTCGTTCCCCGTCCCAGGCTTTTCCTTTGATCGTCGAGGCCACACAGGTGCGTCTCCCATGTCTTTCCGTTGCACATTGTCGATAAGGGTGAGTGAGCGCCTAGAACACTGCAACTGTTGACAGATTCCCTTCCCTGTGCTGGGTTCCTCTGGCAGGATCCCAGCCTGCAGCTGTGGCAGAACATGGATGTGAAGCCGTTCATGCGGCTGCAGATCTGACGTGTTTCCAAGACGTGTAAATTCCAGACCAACAAAACATGCTGTTGATAACCGTGCACTTGTGCTTGAACCCCGATGCAAAGGTTTGCACAAGCTCTTCGGCTCGTTTCCGCTGTCTTGCCAGGGCCATGGGCTGTGTGATGAGCATCGTATGGAGCTCAGTGATGTCAAAGCTTTCTTCCGTCTTACTGATGTCCTCGGACGTTGAGGCAGTGTCAATGTCTAGTTAGCTAACAGTTAGCACCTTTATATCTGCGACTTGACAGCATCAACTAGTCGTCCCCAGTTGATGAAGTTGTGTGCGTGGCACTAGCACCAACTAGCAACTTGAAGGGCCAATCCTGCATGCTCAACTGTGACCAAGTGCCGCTTCTTGGTCTTCAATCTCATCTTCATCGCCGGACTCTCATCTTTCAAGTGCTTGTGGTGGTCAGATCTAGTCCTTCGGGAGTTTAAGGAGTTAATGTAGAGCTTCGGATTATCCAGAGTATCGATGTCCCCTATGTCAGAGGCCCCGTGGCTTTCGGTACTCGGGACTGACATGGAGTAGCCGAAGCATCTCGATCCCAGTTCCACTGCAGGTTGCCTGCATTACTATGTCTACGCATATCTACTACCCCTTGTTTCTGCCAATCGATGCCGTGGCCTCGGAAGTTCCACTGCGGGGACGACGGTGGCCTGCACTTTGCAGATGATCGTTTCAATTATTGCTTTGCGGCCGAGGCGAAGGTTTGGCTGATTACGAACGTCTCGGAGCCCGTCGTCAGCTCCAGCGATGATGCTGGCAGCCCTGGTCTGACAAGCTTGAGGTTTTGTTTACTAAGATTATCATTCATCGTATTATCCAACTGCCGTGGACTCTGTTGCCTGGTAGGCTGTGGGCCGCATCCGGGACTCTTGACTCGATCACACCATGCGATCTCTAACTGTAGCTGCCATTTTGGTTTTGTGCTCTCGTATTCAGGCAACAGGTATGTCGAAGCCTGTTCCAAACATGCGGGTCAGCTTATGCGTCTAGTTGACGTCTTCGCTTCTGTCGCGCTTGCAACTCATTGTGTTTGCTACTAGCACGGAGTCCTTTCTGCCTTCAGTCTGCCAGTTGGGCAGCATGAAGATCGGATCGCGAGTTGCACATGGTTTCACACCATGTCGTTGGATCTCTCTAGCATGTCACTTCATGGGAGCTGTTGTATACCATATTTAGTGGTGCATTGTTATCGTGCCAATGTATGTAGCACCATGTCACCGCATTGTGTCTGCTCCTGCCACTGCACTTTCAGATATGCGATAGTTTCGTGTTACTACCTTACATGTTTTATCGCGAGATGTTAACTGGATTTTGCTGACGTATGCGCGGGTGTTGTTGTATGGTACATGGTTCAAGCTATGTTAAATCCTTACTGTGATTGTCCTGTGCTTGTCGCTGAGGTTTGGAGATCGGGATTTGTATTTTCGTGCTGCCAAGATTGTAGTATAGTCGTGTGGTACTATGCCTCGTCGCCTTTGCACTGAAGGTTCCATGTTGGCGTTCCTGCGAGCTGGAGCTCTTTGGCGACGAGTGCGGTTCTCAGTCTCTCCCAGGGCCTTGGGCTTAAGGAAGCTCTCCACGAAACCCGTAACGGAAACCTCGAAGTCTGCTCAAGCTCTTCAGTCGCATGTTGGTTTCGGGCTGCCCAGGCTCTGCTCGGACCGCAAGGACCCTTACATGTTTGCGTCGCGCTGAGAAGCTCTGGTCCGCTTTCTTCTGGTCAAGCTGGGCCTTGATGCAGTGGGATCTAGGACCCCACTTAAAGGATCATGAGACTTAGTAAGTAGGGTTATAATTGTTGAATGCTTGCACTCCGCTTTCTGCTGTTTTCCTAGGCATGAGAGACTTGGCCTGCAAGTGCCATGATGTATTCAGTCTCATGTCGTAGACCTGTAGAGCTGTAAGCCGAGAGCCCAATCTGTTCGAATGCAAACGCATGTTCGCAGAGGGTTAGGCCGAAGCTAGGTCTCTGACGTTGTTTTGTGAGTGAGGAAAAGGTAGGAGTCCGCCATGGGATTCTGGTAAATCCTTTGACTGCCCCCTTGGACACTATCGAGAAGTGTACCAACTGGAATCGGCCGTGAAGGCCGTGAAGTTCTTTCAATAATAATTACGGTAACTATTACTTATAACCCCAATTAAGGGACTTATAACCTTACTTACTAAGTCCCCTGATCCTCCAAGTAGGACTCTAGTCTTCTCCTTAGAGGCCTGGCCCAGCTTGCGATGTTACAGTTGCGCTCGAAGGAGGGGGGGGGGTCATGTCAAGCTCTTGCTGCGATCGACAGCTCAGGTCTCCAGCAACGGGCTCCCCATGCGTTTGCATCTCAGTTTGATCTCAATACGGCGGCAAACTTCCAAACGGTATGGCTTGTTAAGATCCGCCACATCTTATGGATTTCCAAACCTAGGATACACTGTTGTATTTAGTGTGTGGTCGGGTCATAGACTGTCATTTTGCCTTCACCATCAAGCCATTAAGACACACTGTTTGAGCAGCAATGGTGAGGCGTAAATCCTCTGAAAAAGTAGTGGCCTTAACATTTGTGTTCGTCTCAGGCCGAGATGCTGGGCTGCAGGCTGTGGGCGATCGAAACCTCGCCGGAGGAAGCATGTCGCGGCCCAGGTTTCTGACTGTCAAGAGCAGTGCTGCAGTTTTCTTCGCCCTTGTCATGGTCACTCTTGCTATGTCGTTGCAGCTACTGTTGCTCTGACTATTGCTGGTATTAGCACCACCCTTTCTACAGAACGGTTCACAGTCAGCGGACCAGACGCGGCAACAAACCCGTAGAGGTTCGTTTCCAGCTCCGACTCTTGTTGCATCGTATCGTAACAGGCTTACGAAAAGCATAGACAGCAGGGATCAGGTTCAAAGCAAGCCAAGGAGGACTACGCCACAACAACCAGAGCGATTTTTTGTCGAAGTTGCTACCATACCAGTAACAATACTTCTCGCATTTTATACACCAAGCGAGCAAACCGAACGAGACAGGTCCGTAGAAGTCCCCGCTGAGGTGCATCAGCGATTGGAGGTCTTCGAGCTGCTGGGTCATGGGCTCGGCCGCCGTTTGTTTTCGATCGACACTCGGGCTCCGAAACGAGTTTTAGCCCAAGCCGAGTTTATGGTATAGGTTGTGAGAATAACAAAGTCATAGCAGTACGACGAGTACGATAGTTTTTGTCCAGGGAAGTGTAAGGATAATAGAAGGAAGAATAGGGGTCAAGACAAAGAGAAAGCACTTGCAGTTAGCCGTAATGATTGTCAGAAGCAGTCACAACTGCCTCATCAAGACCATCATTGCTGATGGCAAGCAGAATCCTTCGTAACTTGCATAGTGGTTCGGCCCTTCAGAGGACGAGGAATTGTGCCTCCGAACTCCTGTTTTTTGATGCGCTATTCCTGGACGCAACTTTCAAGTTCTCTTCTGATTATTGTCATCAGCAGCATCCGCACACACCAGCATCAGTCAGCACCAGCAGCATCATCATAATCATCAGCATCAGCATCCTCACCATCATCACCATCAACAACATCATCATCAAACATCAATCATCATCATCATCATCATCACCATCATCATCAGTCATCATCATCATCATCATCATCATCATCATCATGATTTTCTCGGAGCTCCCCATCTCGGGACTCTTTCGAGCACAGGCTCATGAAAAAACAGGTCCATCTAAGCACGAAAATGGTGATGATGATGACGATGACGATGATGTTGATCATGGTGACAGTGCATGTGATGTTGATGATGATGGTGATGATCATGATGCTGCTGCTGCTGATGATGACGACGATGATGATGATGATGATGATGATGCCGAAGGCGATGATGATGCTGGTGGTGGTGGTGGTGACGGTGGTGGTTTTCAAGATGGTAGTCGCTGGGCGGGCGGGGCGCAGCTTGGCTAAGACCAGCATATTTTTGGTAGTGCCGGTTGTTTCATGATCCTTCTTGTGAGAAGGAGGAGGAACAGCAGCAATAACAGCGGCCCACATTGGAGCCTTTGCAGTGAACGCGGGTTCTCCTTCGGCCACGGTCTTGCTGCCAAAAGCTATGAAAAGGACTTCCGGCTCAGCTCTAGCTCCTGTTGATTCAGTGATGACCATCCAATGCTTGACTTCAGTCGGATCGCCCAGGAGGGCATCAACCTGGAGTCTGCTCAGAAGACTTGCCACGAAGGCCGTGGCTGCTCCGTCCGGAGCTCAGGAGGTTTCGCCGTTAGAGCTGATTGCTCAAAAACGAGGGGTCTGCGGCCATCCATGCGAAAAAGGCCAGCCGCCGTTTGGAGAGCGAAGATCCGATGCACCAATGGAGCGAGGACGTGCAGGAGGACTTTCGGCTATATCATATACCATACTAGACTATACTACATCATACTTTACTATGCTGTACTATATCATACGATGTTATACTAAATTAGTGACCATCTGAAAAGTATGCTATGCTATTTAAAACAAATTTCAAGTTTTATGTGCCCTTGGGGGCTTCAGATTCCACTGCCACTGGTGTCAGGATGTCGGGGGCGAAGCTCCGCCGTTCCTTGGAGTCGAAAAGTTCACCATTTCTGCCACAGAATCCGAAGGGTTTTGGAGCTTAGGGTGTGCGGTTTAGGCTTGAGGGTTTGAAAAATGGTTGAGGGTTCCGGGTTGAAGGTGTCGCAGACACCTCTAGCCTTAAAACTCTTGCCGGCTCGACTATCGAAGAAGTCTCGTGCATGTTCTGCGCAAGGGAAAGAGAAGCGGCTCTGCGATTTGTTGTGTGTTTTTGCCTCCAGCCAAACTCCAAGACCCCCAATTCCAACTTTCAGACGAGGTCCCCCAGCACGGACACTTCCAGGCCGGAGCAAGTGCAATTTTTGCAGAACGACTCCTGCCAATCCTTGGGTTTTTTTCTCGCTTTCCGGGGCAGCACTTCAGGCAGGTTGTATCGCTTGAGCTTCGGCAGATCATGGCAACAGCGCAGCGAAGCGGATCTGCTTGTAAGCGTGACCGAATATTTGTAGGATACTTTTGCGAGTCATGTTTGAGTATAAAGAATATAAGGTCGGCGGTCACAAGACGGAGGTCGTGGCCCACTTGACCCATAAATCGCAATGTGCAAAAGAAAGGCTGAACAACAATCATCATCAATCACTCCATTTCTTGACCAACCAGGGGCTTTAGCGAAGAACCTGCAGTTGGGTCCGGTTCGCTTTGGAAGACAATGGCAAAAGGGTCGCAAGCAGCTCCACCGCGATCAAACTTGACGGGAACTGAGGACCTATCAGCTAGCAGGAGCACACCTCCGTATTCCCGAGATTTGATTTGCGTGAAGCTATTCTACGCATTTCCTGATGGAAGATGGGAAATGGGTTCTGTGAATGCAACGGCGGTCAAGTGTCACTGCCCATGAACAGCTCCTCTCCAACCTGTGTGATCAGTCCAGAGTCGCTGTGATCGGTCAGGAAGCTTGCTGCAGCTTGCCCCTGGGTCTCTGCAGGTGCCGTTTTGCTATTCTTGCATAGCCCATTTCGGTGCTTGATCCTGGTTCAAATCAGACATGGATTTTCAGACTCGCTTGAACATGATCCGCGGTGTAAAGGAGAGTCCAGCTGCCCCTGTCAGGCAGTTACAATCTGAGCCTGATAACGTACACCATTCGCTACCAGACCAAAACTTCGTCGCCACGGCCTCGGCGCTCCGGCGAACCCAGCACTATCGTAGTAACGTCGTAGTACGGTGTACTGATATAATATATTGGTTTCAGTTGTGCTACAGTATTTTGTACATCATGCTGTATCCTGCTGCAAAGTTGCCGATAGTTTCAGGTTGGCTGGGGCTACTGCGATCCAGACGCTGCTGAAGACATCCCTCGCGTCCGTGCCTGGCACAGATTGTTCAGGTAAAATGCTGCTCGAAGACGCAGGATCCGGAGATATCTGGAGTGTATGCAAAACAGGAGTGGCTCCACTAATGTTGCTGCTGTTGCTGGTACTACTACAAGCTACTACGACGACGACGACGACGACGACGACGACTACTACTACTACT